CCTCCTTCCCCTCCACCTCCGGCGCGTGGGACTCCGGGCGCTTCCTCCCGTGTCGCAGCTAGAACAATTCTCAGCTGCGGTTATTCTGATTTAATTTATCATTTTCGTAAATGTCAATCCAGATAGGGCAGCAGAGATCGCAGAAGCATGGAATGGGTCATATAGGAAGGGAGCACGGTGGGACATCTGGTCCAACCTCCATGCTCAAGCAGGGTTGATAAATAACATAGAAAATAGAAATTTTCAGAGATAGTCTTCTAGTGTCCTATGTAGATAAAGAACGCCTGCTTTCTAGCCCTTCAGATTGTGTTAGAAAGTTTATTTTCCAGCCGTTTTGGTATCGTGGCGCAGGAATTGCATCCAGAGGGTTCTTGCCTTCCCTCTCCAGTGAGGGAGACTCCGCACCCTGTCCAGGCAATCTGTTCAGTGCCTGCTCACCTGCACGGTAAAACAGCTCTTCACGGTCAGACGGAACTTCCTGTGCATCGCTTGCCATTGCCTCTTGTCCTGTTTCTTGGCACCACTGAGAAGAGCCTGGCTGCATCCTTCAGAAAGCCTTCATGTCCTGATACACGTTGATGAGGTCCCCTCTGAGTCTTCCCAAGCCTGAACAAGCCCAACTCCCTCAGCCTTTCCTTGTAAGAGAGGAGCTCCAGTCCCCCGATTATCCTTGTTGCCCTCTGCTGGACCTGCAGGAGCTCCATGTCTCTCTTGCGCTCAGGAGCCCAGGGGTGAAAGTCTCTGCCTCTCCGATAGCCATTGCTTCAGCTCTTTGCCCACGTCTCCAGCAGACCCCCGTGGGTTTATAATCTTCTTTGCACCTGGAAGTTCCTCACAGCCTTGTCTGCCCAATGCTTAGGTCAAGGTTCTTTTCAGGGACAAACTGCCACCATACTGAGCTGAAATAAATTGTGAATGTTAATTGCCAAAAAGAAACCAACCCCCATCACATAATTTTTCAGGCCTCGGTGCGTTCTGCAGTGAGGGAATCAGTGTGAGGGAGAAGCAGTATGAGGGATGGCAGAAAACAAGGGGGTGTGCTAACGTCTGAGGTTTGTCAGGGAAAATGAAAGGAGGTTGTTTGAAGTGTGTTTAAAAAAAGATCTGCCAGGAAAACCAAACATCCCTGGCTGACAGTGAAAACTGCACTGTCAGCATCATGGCTTTGATGCGAAGGCTAAGTGTGTCATCCCCCACCATCCCCAGCAGTGCGTGGTGGGACAGTAACGAGCAGTTTAGGTAAGAAATCATTAAATGTTGAGCTCTCTGGGAAAGGGAAGGGGAAACAAGGTTGGAAATGCCCTGGTTAGGCCTCATTAGGAAGATACCTGTCTTGGACAAAGAGGTGTTGATCTCTTCTCAATTACTCTGTTTCATCAGGGTCTATTGGGTTGTGGGGTTGTTTTTTTTTTTTTAGATAAACGTGGCTGGTCTGTCCATGTTTGTGTTAAATAGGGGGCCCAGAAACAAGATTTCCCCTGCCATCTGGGAAGAGCAGCATTTTTCTTGGAGCAGCATCTACTGTCTCAGCAAGGAGCTCTGCTGCCAGCACAGCAGACACCACTCTCTCAGAACACCTCAACCCAAATCCCCAGCATTTCTTGCTCTTGTCCTACTTCAGGGAGCCTTACAAAGGCTCCCTTCTCCTGCACTCCAGTCACGGCTGCGCTAATCTCGGCACAGCACAGTTTTGCTGGCACACATGCTGCATCCCTTGCTGTTCTGTCCTGGCCTCATGCAGGTCTGGCAGTGCAAGGTTTGACCTTTACCTAGTGCAGCTTTTGCAGGTGTCTGTAGCTACTTTTTCAGAAGAGAAAATTGTTCTCAACCCTGTCCTGATGGCAGGGGAAGAAATAGCTTTGGTGTCACACAAGGAAAGAAAACTTAGGCACTGTTGGTTTTGGTGATCACTCTGGATGCTTGTGTCTAAGAACTGTAGGGTTAAGGGCATGTGCTCAGGGAATAGTAGACTCAAATACCTGGGAGAACATGGGAGATGGAGAGAAGTGGATTTGGACAGAGTCATATCATGCTTCTGTTTCTAGCCTGTTCTTGAGCTAATATTTTCCATGCTTCCAATAACAGTGCCCCATCCAGGGCTTTTGGGTGTCCAGTATGAAGCAGAGACACCTCCCTTCAAAAACCAGCTGTGTGAGGTCTGCAAGGCCTCACTTCATGCTGTCTTGGGTCCTATGAGTGAGGCATTTAGTGTGCTATAAAGTGCAGACACCAAGCAAGATGTGCAGAATCTCACTCTCCTGTACCAGCTCTGTGATTGCCAAGAAGGATTGAATACTGTAGGCCGCTCCTCAGTAAGGATAGTAAGATTCCTCTTCTCTGTGCAGCTGTGTGTTTTGGAGAAACTTGCAGGTACTTTGATTTCACACTGGGGAAACTGAATTGAAATGTGTGCAGAGAAAGCTGGTGATGGCAGTGTCAGATGAGCTTCACTGCCTCTGGTGCCAGGCTGCAATCACTCCAGAGCTGAGCCTGGATGTCAGTGTCTCAGCCTCCACCAGTAAGATCCCAGGCTGTGAGAAATTATTTCCAGTCTCACTTTCTTCAGGTAGCCCCTCCCCAATCCCAAGTGGTTCATGCCTGGGCTGTCTACGCATGACAGATGTTGCTCTGTTCCCACCTAGGTTTTCTCCCTGGAGAAATTCCATATTTTATAAGTGCCGTCTTCAATGTAAAAATATAAACAAAATTATGATGTGTAAAATATGAGTGTTGCCTCAGCTAATGGTAGTGCTCAGAGTTACACTATTTGTTGCTGCTGCTGAAGTGCCTTGCTGTTGGAGATGATGTGAACAGTTTTGTTTTGCTGAGTTGTCTCCTTTTCTCCTGGTAGTACTGACTTGGTGAATATCCAGAAAGCCACAGTGCCTGTACGTACCTTTTTACACATAGCCATAAAGTCTCTAGAGTCTCTCTCATAAGTATTGGGGCTTTTCCAGTATTTCAGAGCATGGTTCTCCATTGCTGGGTTGTTGGGGTTTCTTTGAAACTTTAGCTGCTGGAGTCCAGGGGATTCAGCAGAGGAGCTTTTCTGTCCCTCAGAGGAAATACCAGACATTTCTCATTCTCTTGATTGTACAGGAAAACTGAAAAATAATATTTGAAGTTACCTGAAGGATTGGAATCTTTGAGGAAAATGAAAGGAGCCCCCAAATTACTTGGTTTAAGATCTCTTCTGTCCCCACATGCCCATGGCTCTTGGAGAAAACTGGCTCAGGGATGCTAGGGGAGATGAGTGGTAATTTGCATCTTGACAGTTCTGGCCCTACTTTGATTGACTCCAAAGGAATTATGTATCTTCTCACATAAAAAGTCCTCTGCTCTCCTGCCTTTGCTTCCATCTCTGCAGGCATCTCTGGCACCCCCACTCCCACTCTCTGTTTGATCAAAGCTTCCCTCTTCTTTTATCATTTTTGTCTGCTTTAGACTCTGTTCCTCCTCCGCTGCAGCACATGCCCAGAGTCACCTTCCAGCCAAGCATACTTCAAGTTTCCCGTGCCTTTTCCATCAAGAGCCTTTATGTGGGAGGGCCAAAGTTGTCCCCCAAGAAGGGAGAAGCCATCTCAGGAGAAACTCAGGGTGGAGACAGAGCTGGGAGAGCTAGCTCCCCTTCTTTTGCAAAGTTCTGAAAAGTAGACTGGAGAAATAAGATTTTTGTCTCTGTAGGGCATGAATGGGGCTCGTGTTCTGTCATGGAAAACTACTTGAAAAGCCACAAAGAGAGCGTGATGGGCAATGGCAGAACCCACTGGCACCTGGAGTTTCAGTGCTTCTTGGTGGCCCTGCCATGGGCTGTTCTGCCTATGGAGCTTATTTCTGTATTATAATTCATTGACAGGAGAGAGACAAGTGCTTTGTGATCTCATCCCCCTGTCAAAGCCCTTGGGACAGCCCCATATCAACACCCAGTACATGGATGGATGGATGGATGGATGGATGCATGCATGCATGTATGTATCCATGGATGCATGGATACAGCCAAGTGGAGCAGTTGTGACCCTGTCTCCTGAATCTGCCATGCCTTGTGGTTCCCACACGACTTATGTGACACTCTGCAGCCCTGAGTGTTGTTTGTGGAATAGGTCTAGTTGGCTCACCATGTTCAGCTACTTAGAATGTATCAAGGAAAGAGTTTAGGATACAAAAGCAACCCGTGACCACCCCATGTCACAGGATGCCCATAACAGCTCCCTGCAGCACTGACAGACGCCACAGTTGTTGAGGGTTGTTTTAAATTTTATTCCAGGATCACAGGCACTTGCTTGGTAAAGTGCTGATGTCGACTACCTTTCTGCTTCAAAATGAGGCTGATATTACCTAAATCCCCCCCAGGGTATGCCTACCCAGCCTATTCTTACCAGCCTCCAGTGATGGAGACCCTGGTGCTTGGCCAGGCAATCTACTTGAGTAATTAACTGTCTGTTCTGTTAGAAAGTGTTTCTTAATGTCTAACATCAATCTTGCTCTTTGTAATTTAAACCCCATTTCTCCTCACCCTAATCCCCAATGGAATCGGCAAACGATTTTGCTCTCTTCCCACTGCCCTACACCCCGACTAGAGAAAGTCTCAGGCCGATTTATGGCACGGCCTCTGCCCGCGGAGGTGGCTCCCCCGAGCACGGTCACACAAGCACGGGGGAAAACAGAAAGCTCTTTCGGCACAGTGCGCTGATAGAAACGGGACCCTTAGAAAGCGCCTGGGTTTGCGATGGCTGGCTGTGAGCCCGGAGGGAGTGGGGCAGTAGGATGGGTTTGCGGCATGTGCCTCCTGTTCTCTCCTACTGCACCGGGGGTGACTCTGGTACCCAGGGGTGCTTGGGCTGGCGGGAAGAGCGGCTGCAGGGCACCGGTGAGACTTGGGGTGACGGGGGAGAGGTTTCACCCATTGTGAGGGACCCTGACTGCATCCCTGCCTGCAGTGCATCCCCCATCCTGCTGTCCCTACAGCCGCTGGGGCTGCCCCGCTGCGTCCGGCTGTGCCGCCGATGTGCGTCACTTTGCGCAACCGGAGCGATGCGGTCCCCCGGGGCCGACCCTCGTCACCTCCGGCCCCCCATACAGACTTTCTCCCTTAAGCCTAGCGAGCTCAGAAATGACCAGGCTGATCCCTCCCACCTGCCCGCTCCCCCTGGCCCGGCCCTGACGTCAGGGGAAGGCGTGCGGATGCGTGTGTGTTCGAGGCGCACATCACCCGCACATCAGATACCGCAGATCCGTCAGCCGGCAGGCAGCCAGCCGAGAAAGCCCCCCGGAGCCGGGCTGCAGGCGAGACCGCTGCTCCTCGCAAGGTAGCGGAGGAGCGTCCGGCCCCTCCGAGCACCGATGCTCTGCAGAGCGCAGCTCCAGGGAGCCCGGCGCTGCTAAGGAGGTGAGTAAGGGCAGGCACAATGGCCATGCAGCGCGCCCGGGCTATTGTAGCTGGAGGTTCAACTTGACGGACCACCTTTCTCTTTGAAACCTGCTTATTCCTCCTGACGGTGGGGAGGTGCGAGGATGAAGCGTGACTTCCCTCCTCCGGTTTGGTTATTCCCCACCAGCCTCAGGAACAATAACTCCCCTGGGGGTGGCGGCGGCAATGCCGCACGTCTGCTTTGGCTTGGGGGCAAATAATCCAGGGCTTTGCCACGGAGGGCTGAGCTCAGCTGGGATCCAGCTCTCTGATTGCCGGGTGAGCGGGAGGCAATTTGTGAAAAATCTGACTTATTAAAGTAGGCTGATAGTGATGGGAGCTGGAATTGGGATTTCTTTGGACAGGCTGCACTATTCCTGCCGATGGCAAGTTAGATCCACAAAGGAGGAAAGAAGGACACGGACGATGTTTGTGCCAGGTCTTTGAACATGTGCTATGCTAATTAAAAAAATAAAACCTTCACAAGAAAGCTAACAAATCTCACAAACTTGATATTTGGGAATGACGATCATCCATACATGCTTAAAAGGTAAATCAAGCCTCCATGATGGTTTCTCCCTTTGCTTCTCCTTCGCATCTGTCAGCCTGCTTGCTCTGCCTCATGGCCTCACAGAGAACTGGGCAGCCCAGCACTGACTAAGGGAGCTTTTTATAATCAATCCATAAAGGTGACATTCATATTTTAGCGCTAAGCAGGCTGTATCGTAGGCGAGACTATCTCAGCAAACATCTCTGGAGTTGGGAGTGTGATTGGTTTAGCTGGGGAGGGGATGCTGTCAGTGTGCATTGCCCAAAAACCGCCTAGTTTTATTTTTCCTATAGTAATTTGTCTCATCGAAGGGGTTTGTAATAGGCAGGGTAGGTGAGAAAATTGCTTTGTTTGGTATTTAACTCTTAACATGAGCTGATAACCAAAAACGGGAGAGGGGGGAGCTGAGAGGGTTTCATTAGCATCGGACAGAGACAGCATTTATAAAAATCTCCCAGACACCAAGGCTGTGAGCCTTCTCCGAGGAAGGAGGGATGGAGAAACAGCCCAGCCAGCGCTGCGGTGGCCCTGCTCGCGGTTAGCCCTGCCTGGAGCCATCGTGGTTCCCCAGCTGGTTCCTGCCCTTCATGGCAGCCCCCCTGGGATCTCTGCTGGCCACTGTGTTGTTGTTAGGTCCCTCGGCAGGTGAATATGCCCAGCAGCCGAAAAATGGGATTTTTGTTTTTGCACTGAGCTCTGGGGACACGCTCATGCGTCTGGAGGGGTGTAGCTCTTCTCTGTTTCAGCCTGTGTCTAGACAAGCTAGGTCTGGGGGGGCATCAGCCTCCCCGAGAATGGCAGCGGGCCAGAGCATTGCTTTCTGTGCTCCACGGGGCGAGGAGATGGCTGCTGGCAGCTGGCTGTGGAGGTGGCGCGTCTTTTTGACATACAGAGACCTCTTTTTTCTACTGGGGCGGATTTAGAGGGGTAGTAAACCTGACTCCTGAACTGGGGCCACCGGCCCCGGCAAGGGACGGAGAAAACGTGATGGAGAGTGGCATGGAGGAGCCCGTGCTGGAGACTGGTGCGAAAGGCAGCGGAGAGAAAATAACCTCCAGCTCTTCGGCTGGGGCGGGGGGAGCAGCGGCACTCGGGAGAGCCGAGTGTGGCGGCAGGCAGCATCCGAGCTGGGATTTACAAAGATTTACAAAGAGAAGCGGCGGCGTGAAAGGGAACTGCCCATAAAGGCGATGGTCTGGCCGGCCCAAGGGTCACGTCCGGAGCCGGAGCGTGACGGCCGCCAGCAAAGCGGCCACCCATCCGCCAATGCATCCCGGGCATCCCGCGGGCTCCAGCGGATGGGAAGGAGCACAAAGAAACGCCGCACGGGAGGGCCGACTCAGCGAGGGCGATTAAGCTAATTAAATATGTATTCCCCCGCCCGGGCGGGGGAGCGTGAGGGGTTTTTTTGGGTTTTTTTTTTCGCTGCCGCTAATGAACGGGGAGTGGCAGACAGAGGCTGCTGCCTCTTCAAAAGGCTCTTTCCCCCCTTCTAGGGGGCCTTGAAAGGCTGTTTAGTTAAACAAGGTCATAGCCAGCACCCAAGTCAATGTGTTTGGCTTTAAAGAAGGGGAGACAGACAGTGATTTTATTTGATAAACCGCAGACCTTTCAGTCCCTGCTGATGAATGGGGTACTTGGATCTCGAGATAAAAGCTGATGTGTCTACTGCCTGTCTGCCTTAATTGGCCTGGGTTTCCTGCCTCCGCCTGCAAGGGCTCCTGACTGTCAGCTCCGCTTGCTCAGGAGCCTGCCCTCCAAAAAATATAAAAGCAAAGCTGGCTTCTGCTGCCGAAGAAGACCCTGTCACCAGAGGGCTCTGGGGTTTGGCTTTGAGATGTATTTTTTTGGAGAGGAGGGAAGGTGGACAGGGCAGGAGGTGTTTTATTTATAAAGAGCTTCCTTCCAGGGAGTCCTGGGCTTGCGGCCACTTTCCTCCTTGGCTCGGAGGACTGTCACCCTGGGAGACCCTCGGAGCAAAGCCACCAAGAGGAGGCGGGGAGGAGCGAGGTGGAGGTCCGGCGGCGGAGGGTGGTTGCGCTGGAAAGGCTTCCCATGCCCCACGGCAAAGCCGGGCTGCTGCAGTCTCTGCGCTTGATTCCTCAAGTGACCCGCATTTGGTCCCTGCACTGTATACGTGCGTGCGGTGGACACAGTGTCGTGGGGTGGTGTCAGCCAGGCCGAGAGACACCTGAGGTGGGGAGAGATGCTCTCATCCCCAGCAGAGGTTACTGTGACCACAGGAGATTGAGGAGAGGGCGAAAATGCCTCTTGTGCCGAGGTGCTGTCTCCTTGTCCCCTGCTGGGGCTGCATTGTGGAGAAATGGCTGGGGAGAGGATGGTGAGGGGGAGAGCAGGGAGGGAAGGAGGACAGTAGAGGTTTTCCCTGATCTGTGTCTGGGCTGGGAGGGGAGGATATGCTTATGTCCCCACTCTTCTCTCAGCCTGCTTTTGCCCCGAGTTTGATTTCCTCGGTCCCTTTGTTTGCAGCAGGGATTTAAATGAAGTGGGAGAGAGGATATGGCCCTGGAGTCCCCATGTGCCAAAGCTCCTATTCAGCCTCAGCTTCACCAGCACCACCAAAGCCAGGAATTCAGCTGCTGGGCACCCCAAAGCTGACCAAAAATCTGGGATGCTCAGTCCAAGTGCTGAAGAGGGGCAGAGTGCTGCTGGCTGAGTGAGGGAGCCTGGGCATGGCCCCAGGATAGGGATCTCTGCTCCAGCCCCTGCTCCAAGGAGAAAGAGCAGGCAGCTCTGTGACATGTCCAGGCAGTGCATCCACCAAGGATGGGGATCCCACAGCCTTGCTGTGCCCTGTGCCTGTGTTTATGCCAGTGAACTGCCACCCTACACTCTACCCCATGGGCCATCCAGAGAGCCCTGAGAGTGCCTGTGGGGGATTGCATCTCACTTGTTCTCCCTCAAGGAGCAAGCTCAGCTCCTGGGGGCAAACAGCAGCCCAGAAGGGCACCCTCTGCTGCTGCCCACAGCTCTCATGAGCAGAATCTGCCTCCTCAGCAGTGCCCAGCACGCTCCCGTTCTTCACCATCACTTGTCCCCCAAAACAGGGAGCCTTCCAGGGCACCTGAACCTGCGCTGGTCCCACAGGTGAACCTGTGGCAAACCCATTCTTGGTTGCCACTTCACCAGCCCACACCTTTTTGTCCCTGCAAGCTCCCCCTCCTGCACACCCCCTTGCCTCTTATTTTAATTTTGCCTCTGGGAAACTTCAATTTTTCCAGCGCCTTGTGGATGCCAACCGACTCCCTCAGCATACTAATAGTTTGCTCCAAGCATCCTTATTCAGGTTAAATACCCTCCATTGTCCCTGAATTGGTGGGGGAACGGAAAGGCCTCCTCTCGCACAGAGGAGGCTCACCACACCACAGCGAGGCCATTTTCATAGTGACAGCTTCATGATGTGACAGAGAACTGAGGGCCATTTCCCCCAGATCATCCCACTCCTCCAATCCTGACACCTCCTGGGAAGGTGACAAACCCTGCAGCAATGCATAGGGAACACATCACATTTTGCTGCCTTAGAGTGGCCAGGCTGCTCACCAGCACAGGCAGGGTGGTCAAATGGGGGCACAGATGGGAGCTGTGAAGCATTTTGGTGTCTGGTCTGGCTTTGGGGTGTCTCACTTGGGTGCTCTCTGAGCCTCTCTGAGCTCCTCAGGCATGGAGGAAGGAGATGGTGAGCCTGAGCCTGGGGATGGGAGAAGGAGATGTTGAGCCAGGGTTTTGGGGGAAATAGATAATGAACCTGGGCATGGAAGCAAGAAATGCTGAGCCTGTCAGGCCAGGAGCTGAGCAGCCCCTGTGTGGGGTGGGATGTGGAGCAAAGGCAGATGTGCATGCTCCGTTTGCTGCATGGGGGAGAGGAGCCACTGAAGCACAGGACGGGTTTGGTCCTGGGGAGCCAGGAAAGGGAAAGATGGTTTGGAGGGTTTTCAGCCACAACTGGAAGTTGTCTCAGAGGGCAGGAGGAATGTGGTGGCTTCTACCTTGAAGCTGGACTCTAGTGTGGCCTTTACTGCCTGGGGTGAAGCTCTGCAGGGCTGAGAGGGGGGAGCTGTTAGGGAGCTGGCTGAGGCCCATATGGGCAGCATCCCATGGCAGAATCCAAGCTGGTCTGGCAGCCATGGGGGCCCAGTGGCAGGCACATCCCCTGGCAGAGGAAGAAAGTGGAGGTGGGTGAGGGGAACAGGAATTGCCTGGTCCCTCCTTGAAACTTCAGCTGCTCTAGAAATCTTTTCCCCTGTCCTTGGTGCCTGCTAATTTCAGAGTGGAGGTGACCCCCTTTTGCGCATCCCCCCAGGGCCTTTGTGTCTCAAAAGGCCATAGTGAGTCAGAAAAGAAATTAAATAGTCTCTGTGTTTCCTGGTGTGTGCAGGTGTTGTCCCAAAAGATGCTGCATGCCCCAATGGGGTGGGAAAGGGTGGATGGGGGTGCTGGGGAAGGGGATGGTAACTCCATGGGATATTTGGGTCCTCAACACCAGGTGATAGAAGCTCCTGAGCCTGAGAAGCCATGGAAATGGGTGAGCACCCAGTGCACCCAGGGAGAGGTGCCCTCAAACAACCCCTGGCATGGGGCACCCTGGGACAGAGGCACCAATATCAGATGCAGCAACGGATTGGAATAAAAATCAACAGAGCAAGGCCTTTCTGAGCAAGCAGCTGCAGTGCTCATCACACATCAGAGCATCTGGGAAGCTTAAAAATGCACAATCCCTCCAATTTCATGCTGGGGTGCTTCAGCAAGGACGAGAGTGTCCACAATTGTGATTGCTCCGTTGGCAGGGCTTCCGCCCTTTAGGGCTTTAACTCCTTGCAAATGGCATGATGCCTTCAGAAACTGGAGCCTGATGATGGCAGCAGCAAGAGGTTGTGCTTGTGTAGTGGCTCAGCTGAGGTGCCTGAGGGGTATGAGGGCTGCTGGCCTCACCACATTCTTCTGGTGCTCCTTCCTCTAGGAATGTGCCTGAGTGCTGGCTGGGGCTGGGGTTGTGTCCTAAATCCTATGGGGCTGAAGCAACCTTCTGTGCTGAGAAGATCTCAGACCCCTGACCTTGATGTACTGACCTGTTGTCTCAGCCTTTTTTCTTCACTTTTTTATCAGAAATCTCAGGATGGGGAAAGTTCTCAGAGCCTGGGACTGGATGTTCAGGCATGCTGGCACTGCATGGGCATCCTTCCCAAAGTGGTCCCGGCCTGCGGCAGCCCATGCTCCCCTGCTTCATTTCCCAGGCTGTGCTTTCTAGTGACTTTGTCTCAAACACGTGGGGTTATCCTGGCAATTGAAATGTTGAACAAGCCAGGTTCTTCCCTTGGCATTGATTTCCTGGAACATCCCAGGTGACTCCAAGCTGGGACAGGCTTCCTGGGGCAATTCCCAGTGCTGGAGGTTGGTGTCCAATGCTGAAGGCTGGCAGCATGCTCCTTGCTCCCACAAATGGCTGGGAGCCAAGGGACAATTTCTGACAGCAAATTGTGCCAAAAGCCTCACAGAAGGCCCTTTAACTCCCTGTCCCTTTTGCTCCCCAGGTCACCAGCAGTAGGCCCACATACTTGGGCATCCTTTCTCCTGCTGCCCACCCGCCCGATCCCAAAACGGAGGAGCCCACAGACCCCACCATGTCATCGGACCCCAGCGCCCCGCCGGCAGTGCCACCCCTACACTCCCCCAAGTCACCAGTGTGGCCCACCTTCCCCTTCCAGCGGGAGGGCAGCCGCATCTGGGAGCGGGGCAACCTCCTTCTCCGGGACCTGCCCAGCCCCCTCCCCACCAAGAGGACCAGGACCTACTCAGCGTAAGTACCTGGCGGGTTTGGGACTGTCCGACTGAGCCGTGGTCACCTGCGGTGCCTGCAGAGCCCTTTACACCTGGTGCACTTTGCCAACGCAGTGCCCAGCATCACCACACACACCTGCCCAGAGTTCTGTGGGTGGGTACCAAGCGCACTGCCCAGAACCATCGTGCTCATGGCAAAAATCTCTGCCTGTTCCACCTCCTGGGCAAGTGCCACCAGTGAAAAATCTCCCCTTTCCTCCTGTAGGACAGCGCGTGCCTCCGCTGGCCCCATCTTCAAGGGCGTCTGCAAGCAGTTCTCTCGCTCCCAGGGCCACGGGTTTATCACCCCAGAGAACGGCACTGAGGACATTTTTGTGCATGTGTCTGAGTAAGTCCCAGGGCTGTGCTGTGCTGGAAGATCCCAGGGGAGCCATGCCATCAGCATGGGGCTGGAGACTCGTGGGCTGGGGGGTGGATGTCTCCATGGTGTGGACGTGGGTCTCTGCTTGTCCTCCATCACCTGTGGGTTTTCTTTTCCAAGGCACAACTGGTCAAGTGTCTTCCTTTGATCTGGGTGGTCTGGGGCAGGGGTCCATCTCCTGGCTGCGGCACCACCACCACCTCTCCTTTCCTCTCCTGCAGCATCGAGGGAGAGTACGTCCCAGTGGAGGGGGACGAGGTGACGTACAAGGTCTGCCCCATCCCTCCCAAGAACCAGAAGTTCCAGGCAGTGGAGGTGGTCCTCACCAACCTGGCGCCTCACACGAAGCACGAGACATGGTCTGGCCAGATCATCGGCTCCTAGGCGCCCTGGGGGGCCGCCAGCCACTCAGCCCCATGGAGCAAGCCTGCCCAGCCGCTCAAGGGGCGTGTGGGGAGCCGAGGCGGCAGCGGGGCCGGGGTTGCCCCCAAACATGCAGGCGTTTGAGTTCAGTGTCTTTTATAAGGTTACGGTTTCCTTTCTCTGTGTGTGTTTGTAAGTGTCTGTCGAGGGGGACAGGGGAAGTAGAGCCCTCCCTGACTGTCCCCCAGCTCTGGGGGCAGCACCGAGCCCCATGTTCCATTCCTTGCTCCTGAGCCCATGGGGAACAGAGGAACCAGTCCTACGCCCCAGCCCTCCAGCTCTACTGGGCTGAAGCAGGTGTTGAGAGCAGGAGGGGGTGGGGAGAGGCTGGGTGGCTCAGCTCATCCTCCTGAACTCCACTCTGGCAAGATGGGCACCCCACTCGGTCCACAGTGGCACAGCAGCAGCGGGACATGCTCCCACAAAGGAGGAACAAAACAGGGTGGTGTGGGGTGGCATATCACTGTGCGGGGTCTGGGTGGCTGACACCCATCCCCATCGCTGGCAGCTCACAGCGCCCACCTGAGCCACATCCCTCCATCACAAGATCTCAGGTCAGCGGTGCCACAGGGAGTGGGCTGGTTTATAGAAATCAAAAATTTAGTTTTAAGAGGCAGCCAGCTGCTGGCAGGGCACCCGGGGCGCTCGGTGCTGTGTTTGGGGAGCTGCACCTGGGCACGGGGCAGGGGGCACTTGGCACCTCTGTGCTCCCCACTGCTGCCGGGCAGTAATGCACTTTTCTTGGCTCAGTGCTGACATGGTTTTGGGGAGACAGACACTTTCCCTTCCTTCTCTTGCCCCCCAGCCCCCTGGGGCCCCCCTTCCCATGCGTGTGTGTGTGTGTGTGCATGTCTGTAGCTTGCTGGGGTGGTGAGGGGCTGAGGGGTCTGAGCAGCCTCAGCCATGGGGCAAGTGCAGCCACCTCCTCCCCAGCCCCTCGGTGTAGGCAGGGTCTTGTATACAAAGCACAAACTTTGTTTTTGGTCTTTTCTGCCACACCCTGGCCAGGTGGGCTCCCACAGCCCCAGGGAGCGACAGGACAGAGGGCACTGGGGCAGGGACAAAATGCACAGGGCTGGTCCTGAGCTCACCCCAGGGAAATGGTGCTGATGCTCCAAGAATTACCAGCATCTTAAGGGGTTCAAAGCAGGGTTGGAGACAATGGGGTGCCAGCAGGTCCCCCCGAGCAGGGCAGCTCCCCAGAGCACCGTGCCAGCAGGAGCCGATGCTCAGCATGGATGGAGTCGGGTGTTTGCCACATTTTTTGCTGCCGCTGTTGCCGGCAGGGCTAAGTGGGGAGAGCAGCAGAGCAAGGCTGGTGCCACACAGGACGGCTGGGCCCTGCAGATTCGGGAGAACTACCCATGCTGGTGTGGGGATTGCCCTGGGACCCTCCAGCCCATCTCACTGCCAACCCGAAGCCTGGCTCTCCCAGGGGCTGTGGCAACTGTGGCTCAGGCTCCAGGCATCGCCAGGACATGCAGTCAGCTTGGCCAAGGCAAACTGTTGGATTTTATTTTATTTTTTTTAAAAATAAACTAAAACCCTAGACTTGTTGGTGTTTTTACAACTCTGGTGTGGTTCCCGCCTGTCTGACCATGTGTCAACCTTTGTAACATTGGCAATAAACCATTAAAAGTGACTTTCCCATGAGCCCTGCCCATCCTGGCTCTTTGTCCTGTGTGCATGTGTCACAGTGACTCTCCAGTAAAGGACCTGGAGCACCCAGGAATTTACCCAGACATCGAAACAGACTCACCCAGGGTGGGTCCCTGAGGGGGGCTGGAGATGCTCCACACTGTGAGCCTGGGACAGGAGGCTGCTGCCCACCCTGAGGGTGACCAGGAGTGGGGCTGGTCCCTCACTGCTGTGGGGACCTTGAAGCGTGTCCTGCCTGCTGCCTTTCACCCCACACAGCCCAGCACAAAGCACACACTGCCTCCAACTGCTGCGTGTTGTGGCTTTAATAGGATTGATTTTAATTTTTTTAATATACATATCTGTGTAATTAAATAAATTTCTCATTTAACAGTTGTCATCAGCCAGACAGGAACTGCCCATCTCACACTGATATGGATCCATACAACAAGGCAGTCCCGGGCATGGGGCCCGCCACGTCTGCTCGCTCACATCCATGGGGAGAAACCTCCACTTACGCTGTGGGCACCCACCACGAGAGGAGCATCACGGCAAAGGGGTCTCAGGGACAGGCATGAAATGCCTTTCCCTTCAAAGGTGCAAGTCACCTCAGCCCCCAAGACCACCACAGTGCCCCATGCCATTAGGGCCAGACCCTGCTCTTCACTCGTCACTAAGCTCTCTAGAGGTCCTGCTGGCTATGAATAGACTTACAGGAAAAATTAAACTCCCCAAGACTCACACATAACCTGATCCACAGTGAAACAGAGAGGAAGGAATCACAAAACACAATTCCACCACGAAGGCTGCAGTGGAGGGCCAAAACCCGTGACCTGTGCAAAGGGTATCCTGCATACAAGCTTCTCCAACAGGTCCTCTTCTCCCACACAGAAATCTTCCCTGGGTAGAAAGAGGAGTTTGTGGATTTGCTGGGGATTTCTGGATGCTGGGCAGACTGCTGTGCTCATGCAAATGCGCTGCATCAGAGATCTGATGTGTTGTAGTTAGGAGATGCAATCAGGTGGAGGAGACAGCACCCCAGCAGCGCAGGTCATGCAGTATCCCTGCTCCTGGGGCCAGGCAGCAGTGCCAAGGGCCACCAGGGACTCTGCCCATGGCTCCTGTGGGAGCCTAAAAGCACCAGTGTCTCTCGCCTGAGGAGGATGGTGGTGCCTTGCGTAGGTGGCGGTTGCCAGCTGAGGAACTTCTCTCTGCAGTCCAGCTGCCAGTGGAAAATGGAGGGCCATGATGAGGAAACTAGGAACAGAAGAAAAACGGCAGAGAAAACAGGACCAAGACACGGGGCAGTGCCATACCATCAGGGATGGGGTGAGAAAGACTCCTGGGGAACAATGAGGGAGAGTTTGTAGGAACCTGCAACATTCTCCAGGTCCACAAACACCAGATCTGTGTACCCTGGGGAGCTACGAGCAGGACATCTCCCTGGCGGGGATCCCTGAGCTCCTTTTGGGCACCAGGTCAGGACATGTGTCACCATTGTGGCCACACACCACAATGCAGATGCTAGGAATAAAAGGACAATGTGAGGGAGAAGGTCAAAGGCTGAAGGAGAGATGTGGGCTTGCAACCCACAAAGATACAGGGAGAGGAACAGGACATATGACAATTGCACTGGACATCCTGTCTCCCTAAAGGTGAGCTTGTAAACTGAGTGTGTGGGATGAGATGGGGGGAAGAGCAAGCTTGGAGGGCACTGCTGAGCTGGTACCTTCAGGTACCAAGTATGGCTGGTGTTGGCCCCTGCAGAAAATGTCCCTGGCAGCTGAGAGAAAGCTGAGCTCTGGAAAGCTGAGCACTGGGAAGGGAAGGGGACTTGGTCTGTTACAAATGCCCTGGGTAAGGTTTTATAAGGACACATCTCTCTTATGAGGAGAGACTGTGAGAGCTGGGTATGTTTAATCTAGAGAAAGAAGACTGAGAGAGGATCTCATTAATGTATATAAATATTTTAAAGGCAGATGCCAAGTGGATGGTGCCAGATTCTCTTTGGTGGTGCCCACCAACACAATAATGAGCAATGGCCATAAACTAAAACACATGAAGCTCCACCTCAACATGAGGAAGAACTTCTTTATGTTGAGGGTGGCAGAGCACTGGAACAGGGAGTGCCCAGGACAACTGGGGAGCTGCCCTTTCTGGAGACATTCTAAACCCACCTGGACACATTCCTGTCACCTGCTCAGGGTGACCCTGCCTTGGCAGGAGGGCTGGACTAGATGATTTCCAGAGGTCCCTTCCAACCCTAACAATTCTGTGATGCCCAATGGACACAGGAGCAGGAAGACCAGTGGAAAGCCTTCTACCCCAAACTGTTCCATAGCATGAAGCGCCAGGATCCTTCACCTGTGACGGGCAAGGTCTGACTTGAAAATAGAGAATAATATAGAGAATAAACTCTAGGTGTTTTTAGTAAGCAAAAGAGAAGAATTGGTTTCTTCATGCACCCGAGCAAAGTTCAGAGCAGCAGCCCAGTCATGTCAAAGCTATCGTTCCCAGGTCATCTGCAGGGAGGGACTGGCACACTGTGGCACTGAGGGGAAGGACATGGTGACATCAGAAAGCACAATGGTGCAACAAGCTGGGATCTCAGCTACTCCTTCCTACCACAGGCTTGCAGCAAACAGCCTTCCTGGCCTCCTCCCTCAGAGGAGCTCTGGTGAATGCCTCGAGCCTCAGCAGCCCCAGCCTCTCTGGCCAAGGTGCAAGGGGGAGAGGAAGGTGAGCCACATGTTCCCTCATGCACAAGTGTTAAGAGAAACCGAGTGGAAAAGGAGAGAAGAGCAGAGGGAGCCGCAGGACAGACACACACTCACTCTTTGGCCCTTTCAAATGCTTTCTAACCACAAAAGCATCTGCATCACCACCCACCACAGCTGAACTGTCAAGAGAAGTTTTTCTGGAGGCGAGGAGGGTCTGGTGCCATGACCCCCAGCCACCCACAGGGAGCACTGAGGGGCTGCTCAGCCAAGACCCCCTCCTGCCACCCACCCACCTACACTCACTGTTACATCCTGACCAGCTCTGTCAAGTGGTTTTTTGGGTCTACCCTGAGCAGATTCCTCAAATGAAGGTGCTTTTCCTGGTGGGGGGAGGGTGGGACTGGGGCAGGGCTGCAGGGACCGGGCAGTCAGCACTCGTTTGCTCTTTCTGGAAAGAAGATTTCGCGGCATCGCTGGACCGTGTCCTGGGGGGACTGGACACTGTGTCCTACAGTGCGGGGATCATCATAGATTTCATAATCGTTCCCTCCCTGCAGGGGAATAGAAAACAGGGACAGCATTAGCAGGGTCTTGCCAGAACAAGCTCATCCATGAACCCACATTTTGCTCTGTGCCGTGGGGAGCTGGGCTGGGAGCCAGCAGCTGGGCAGGTGGGGACTCGGTGGGCAGGGGCAGGCAGGGCTTTGATGGCCCTAGAAGGGGCTGGGCTGGGAGCTCTGCTCCCTCCCTCTCGATTCCCTCTTCAGTGCCAGGGGAGGAGCATGGAAAAGATGGGGAAGGTCCCAGATCAGCAAGGCTTGTCCAGGAGCCTGGGTTAACCCCTGCCCTGCCTGTGGAGAGGCTAGCAGAAGGTGGGATGGGCACATTTGGGGAGCAGAGGCTGCCAGCATCTGGGAAGAGCTGAGTGGATGACCAAGCTGATCTACAGCAGTAAGGAAGCATCATCCTCCACTGCTCTCAAGGGAAGGTGAAGCTGTTCCTGCTGTTGAGGAGTCCTCTCCTAAGTGCTGGGGGCTTGTGTTGTGGGTCATGCCAGCCACAGGAGTGGCTGCTGCCCTCCCAAGGGTGCTGGGGCAAGGAAAGCAATGCTGAGGTGAACCTGCTTCCCAGCACAGGGAAGCCAAGGTGATTTCCCCAGAAGCCAGCAGAGCTGTCACGAGAGCACTGCAAACCCACAGCACAGGGCAACATCTTCCCCCTCACACCACTGAAGGTCTGTGTTGGCACCAGTGGGACCCACAGGACCCATGATGGCACAGCAGGAGAGAAAGCAGCCATGTGTGGGGCTCGTGGGACATACTCACAGGGGTTGTCTCGTTCCCAAAGAAGTGGATGGTGTCAAATCTCTCGTCGTCGAGCACATTGAGGCAGTAGCGCTTGTCCCAGCCCTCTGGGAAGACATCAAAGCTGATCATGCCACCTGCCAGGAGAAGGGAGGGCATCAGGCAGTGTTGCTGGGAGCTGGCAGGGTGTCCCCCCACCCCGGGGTGGGCATGAGGATGGGAGGGGACTGGATGTCAGGGGGGAGTCCCCAAACTGCAGCCACAAGCACCAGATCTGCCCTGGTGCTCCTCTTGGCACATGGCTAGGACAGTGGCAGAGGCTGTTCCTATGACAACAGGCTGCAGTGACATCAGCATGGCTGGGGTGACATTAGCACAGCTTCCCTGCAGGCAAGCAGGAATCAGAGGGGTCTTCTCAAGAGAGGCATCTTCTGGGGGAGATTTTGGATCACGCCTTGAAGATAGCACCAGCACATTCTGTGTCCCAGCAGGGAACAATGACCTTGGAGACTGGCACCAAACTCTCTCCTAGGCTCCTGCCCTTCTAAAACCTCTCTTCTGATGCTCCCTCCTGTGCAGGGACTGGGGTCTCCTGCATGCTGTCTCTGCACACTGATCAAGGACCTTGCCATGGAGGTACTGTGAACCTGTTGACATAATCAGGGCACGACCCTGGCCTGTCACCTCTTGACACAAGAGTTTAGTGAGGGTTGCCAACATCTGGAGAGGCACCAAGTCACATGTGACCAACACACAGTGGCAAGGGAGCTTTCCCAGAGAACATGTATATGGACATGGACATACACAGCCACCAAGGGTTAACAAACTTCCCAGCCCTTGCTCTTAGACCAGGCAGAGTTTACCCCAGAACTTCCCTGCCTTTTGGGGGTGCTTGGAGGCAGCACCTTCCCCATCCTCTCAAGTTGCCCCACTGTGTCCACAGGCTGCAGAGAGACCCTTGTCCCAGCACCAAGAGAGGAGACATGATCTT